TGCTCACCTGGGCGTCCGCCACCCTTCTGGGGGGCGAGGGTGAGCCCGCAGAGGGGCCAGCCCGGGGGGGCTAAAGCAGGGTCTGCTGAAAGATGCACAGACTGCACACACACACACGCACAAATGCTGTTGGTTTAAATGTATGGTAGCTTTCTCTCCAGTGTCATTTGAATAATTCAGTGAGCCCCACTACCAGCTGTACTTCTGAAGCCTCTTCCATTCTTTTCAGCATTATAATTTTGGTTAATTTTCAATTTTAGGCCCTACGTCTCTGCAATTTGTGTATGAATAACAGAATAATTTTCCTCTTTTGTTTCGCCTTTCCTGTTCCTGAATCTAAATAAAGATGGCTTTTTAGTATTAAAAGTGGAAGAAAATTACAGGTAATTATCTTTGACGGTAAAAACGCTGTAATCAGCGGGCTACATGAAAAATTACTCTAATTATGGCTGCATTTAAGAGAATGGAAAAAAACCTTCTTGTGGATAAAAACCTTAAATTGTCCCCAATGTCTGCTTCAAATTGGATGGCACTGCAGCTGGAGGCTTTGTTCAGAATTGATCCTGGGGAGCTCTGAACCCAAAGTTTCACAGTGGGAAGGGGAAAAAAAGAAAAGAAAACATTTTTCCTAATGTAACAATACGAATGGTAGAAAATGACAAGACTGATCGGTTTTAAACCACTCTGAAGACTGACTGAGCGTGGAAGTTGCTCAAAAAAAAACAAAAAAACACCCCCCAAAAAACTGGTATATTGGTAAGTAGTCTTTGCTTTGTGTCTAATTATAGTGACTGTCCTTTTGCACGACTGTATGTAGCTGTCATTATATGGAGCACTCTGAGGATCTCTATTGACTTCTGATAAATGGCTCAGTGGTTTCAAGGTTCATAATTTGAAGGATGCCCAGGTCTCTAGCCATTAATTCTCGCAGTATGGGGCACCCAGCTTGGCTGAGGAAAGGGCTTTTCATTGTCAGTAGTTGCTGTGCTTTCCACAAGCTGGTGAGGCTGGAGCTGGCTGGACAGCGGGTTGTGTGCCCGGGCACCTCTCAGGGCTTTGCAAAGCATTCCTCAGCTTGCATTGTCTGCTCTTTAAAAACAAAGGAGGGCGCCTCCTTTCCTAACAATTTGGAGTCTCCAGCCTTTGGGAAGAAAGGCAGGGCTCTGAGCTGTGCCTCGGCGAGAAAGCTCAGCTCAGCTGAGCAGCGGAGCAGTGAAATCGCAGCAGAAATGGCCGGGTGATGGGAAACTTCTTCTAGGCTTATCTTTGCGGTCTCGGTATCTCCTGTCTTAGTCGTAGCCTTAAAACTGACCCGGCCACCGGCTCCCCCCCTCCCCATCTTTTCTGTCTTTGCTCGCAGATGTATGTTGAGGCAGCGGTGGCTGCGGGTGCAGGCAAGCGGGGGGACAGCCTCCAGCTGCCCGGCTGAACCCGGGGGGCAGGTCGGGGGAGGTGGGGGTCCGCTAAGGCGGAGAGAAATAGGAGCCAGGCGGGCGTTTTGTGGCTTTTACTCTATATATGAAAGAAGACAAAAACATACAAAGTATATATACAACTAAAATTCAACAATATATACAGAAAGGTTGCTCGGGGGAAAGGTCCCTCTCGCTCAGTGGGTGAAGCTGCCGTCAGGCAGCCCCAAACCTTCCTTCCCCAGACGGCGGCGGCGGGTGTTGCCGCCAATCCCTCGCTCTGTCTTTCCTGCTCGTCTCCGGGAGTCTGTCCGGCTGTGTGCGGGTGTGTGCGGGTGCGGGAGAGGGGGCTCTTCGCGGGAGAGACGGTGGTTTCTTCTGAGCCGCAGCCCATTGCATTTTGAGAAAGCATGCAGGTTTTACTTCGTGGTAATGTTCTAATCTTACAGTATATTTTCATTTTTCAACTAGTTCTCCTTTTTTTTTCCCCTCTTTTTTTTTTTTTTTTAATCCCTTCTTCTCCCTTTAAATTTTTTTTTCCCCAGTCCGGATTTGGTGAATAAAAATGAAGGAGCTTTGACTAGTCTCTCTTTCATCATGTAATGTCTTTAGCTCATTAAACAAGTAAAAACGGCTGCCATGGTAGATTCAGGTTCTTCTTGTGGGCAAAGTCTGTAAAAAGTTTGTTTTGACGTATACTCCACAGAGAAAGAGGCTGGTGCCTTGGAGTCCAAAGGAAAATATCCTAAAGAGAAGTGTCTTCTGTGCGCCAGAATGAAAATTGTGTCTTTCTGTTCGAGATCAATCGCTGAGGTTACTTACAAAAAAAAAAAAATAAAATAAAATAAAGCCACTCTGTCTCTTTGCCGCATCTACAAGTTCACACAGAGCCTGTTAGCTGGCACGGCTTGGCAAAGCAGGGGAACTTCTTGCCATGTCGAGACGAGGCGTTCTTGGGAGATTATTTCTCTTGGACAATTCACATCATTTGTGGTCTCTGCATTGTGTCTTGATGTGGAGAAGAATACCAGTGAGAATAGCCAGGCATGTAGCTGTTGGGAGGCATATTGACTCCCTTGGCAGAAGCTGAAACGTCCCAGACCGGAGGCAGAGCCGGAGAGCGGGGGGAGAGGGCGGCGGAGCCGGGCAGAGGGTCGCTCTCGTGGGGGTTGCTGCCCTGCTTCAGCAGCTTCTTGAATTTGGAGCGCTTGTTCTGAAACCAGATCTTCACCTGTAAAGCAAAAGGCGGCAGATATTAGGCTGCCGTCAGCACCCAGGGCACGGCAGGGGAGACGCCGGGGGCCGTGGGTTTGCTGGAGAGAAGGTCTTGAGAGCCCACGCCAGTCGGGTGTGGGGATGGGGATGGGGAGAGGGGAAGGAGGGGTAGCCACTGCTGTTCTGGGGCTCTGGATGCAGCCGGAGAGAACAGGAGAGAGGCAGAGCGGAGCTGGAAAGCGGGAGGGATGCGGGTTTTAACCTGGAACGCTATTTTGCCTGGGCAGGCCAGATTGGCCGAGCTGAAGCAGGGTACGTGCTCTGAGCTCTCCCGCTTTAACGCCTCATTCAGAATTTTGGAGGTCATTTGATCATTTGGGCAAACTGTTGTCAAACACGGGCAATCATATGATTTTGTGCCAGGAGACAGGAGCCAATAGACAAAGGGCATCTTACAAAGAAATCGCGCATCCGAAAACATGCACGACCAAGCGGTCCTTGCTGATGTGACGGGGGAGGAGGCACAATGGAACCTGGACTGTGGTTTTATTTTAGAAGTTGCTTTTAAAGAAAGGAAAATTCTGTTTCCTCGGCGAGTAATTGGCTATCAAGATTGTTTTGGGTCTCATCCTGCTCCTAATCCAGCAGAATTCCCGAGGAGGGAGCCTGCACTCAATGAGGTGTGCAAGGATCGGGCCCGCTCTGGCAGATCGGAATTATTATAGAGATTATAGATACGAAAGACATATCTACAGGCATGTTTCTTAAAATCAAGCAAACAAAGAAAACAACTCCCCCATGTGTATTTGACCTCGCAAACTTTGCAGACGTAATGTTAGGGCATAAGCAGGGGTGCCTGTCTAGCTGCGTGCTCGGGATCGGGCCCCTAAGCTATGCGTGCGAGAGAGAAAGCGAGACAGCAAAGGAGAGACAGAGCGTGCACGCTAAGGATACTAAAATCCCATTTGTAAACCCATCAGGTCTTATTGCCATGATTAATGTTTGCTGAGTATTTAAAAATCGCTGGCTGGAAGCGACTGCTATCAATGACAATGATAAAATCCTGAAGTTATTTGCTAAGCTCATAAATTCACATGATTACATTTTACCCGAATTGATCCCATCTATCCATGCACTTCTCCACAAACCCCAGCCTGGGAAGCCTGTAATGCCTCATGTGTCTTTCAAGCTTAAATTAGCAGAATGGCACAGCTACTCCAACCACACTTAACTATGGCTTAACCTGCTATAATTTTGTACACGGCTGTCTTTGATCTTCAGATCTATTATCACCTTTCGTACATTTTGCCCAAGGGTAACCACTGCATTTGCGTTAGTCATCCAGGGTGAATTAACTATTGATTTTACAGGTATTTCCTAACGTGTTCCTGCTTCCTCGCTACCTATAGGTTGCTACGAGGCAGCTTTGCTTTGCTTTTAGCTCTACCTCAGGCCCAGCGGTTCCTTGCCTTTGTTTTGTTCTCCTTTTCACAGCTGGGCAATTGCGTCTCGGTGCTGGAATTATCCGAAAATACAGGCGATTTTTAAAACGTTACGTGTGGCACCAAAAGGGAGCGTTTGCTCGCCGGCCGGCTGAGGGAAGGGCGCGCTCAGCTCCTTCTGCCGTAGACCGGTCTCTCTGTGGCGGGGTAGATAAGTCCTATCACATACAGGCGGGGGACCGTGTGCGTTACCTTTTCTACCGTTCCCGTACAGAGGCCAAAACGTCTCGGGAGCATCGTGCTTTGCTTGGCCTTTATTGCTCGCGCAGGACTGCGGTGATTTGGGATTCCCAGTAATTACCTGTGTCTGGGTAAGTCCTAATGAAGCTGCCAGTTCAGCTCTCTCTGGAAGTGCCAGGTACTGAGTCTGCTGAAAGCGATGATTTAAAGCCTGGAGCTGTAGGCTAGAGTAAATGGTTCGAGGCTTCCGAATCTTTTTCCCTTTTCCATTGAATCTGATTTCACCGTTTTCAATCACTGTGGTTTTTTGCTGATCTGCAAGCAAAACACCACAGCTGAAACATCACCCTCCTTAGCTATTTAGCGCCGGCGTTTTGGCTGCCACGGCTCCGAAAAACCCAGCAGCCTGCCCCGACGCCGGTTCAACACCATCGCGTACACACAGGCTCCGGCTCCTCAGAGGCACGCCGCGACGCACGCTGCTGCTTGCGAGCTACCGGGAGGAAAAACAACTGTCCGGGCACAGTGGGCACGCTGCCTTTCCCCCGGGGGGGCAAAAAAAAAAAAAAAATTAAAAAAAAATTAAAATAAAGGGACACACTTGCTTTAGGACAGGAAAGCTGGTTTACAGGCCCTCCC